TAAGTGCGTTAACTATAATTAATTTTTCAAATTAAAGATAAGTAAAGATTTTATTTATTATTAATTTCCTAATTTGATATAATTTTAGTTAATATTTTAGAAATTAATAGTTATACCTATATAATAAATGTGCCAAAGCAACTTTAGACATCATTGTCTTGATATGTCCACCATTTCTCAACCAATTGATATAAAAATGATATCATCACATATAATTAGTCTCAGATAAATACTTATTCATTCCACAAATTTTCATTTAAATCCATTAATTATTTCTTATAGAAATATAACTAAAACTAATTCACCAAATTATCAATGCACGCCTTAGTAACACTTAACGTACTTAATAGGAAAATTCTATACTATTAATTGTTATAAAGGTTTTTATAAACAAATGACAATGTATAAATAACTTATTTATACAAACTGTTAATTTCAATTGCAATTGAAAATCTCACAATGAATTAAACAATGTCAACTAATAAACCACAATATTTTAACACATTTTATTGATTTTCTTATGCAATAATTGAAGTATGTTTTAATGTGCTGACATTTAGGATTATGATATTTTTATAACATTTATTAGCAACACTGATTATTCAATTACTGATAACTTATCAGTGATAACCAATCATTGTATACTTTTGCTTATTTATTTGTAAACTGTTTTATTTGAGAATATATTTTTCAATTTATAAAGGTAATAATTCCATTATGAATAATATTATTTACAAATAGAGTTTTAACTAATAATGGTTAAACATCATTTAAAAAATAAAAGTAATTAAATTTATATATCATAAATTTCTCGAAATAATGGGCCGTAATATTGAATGAGTGTATGATTTTCGGCCACTTCTGACAATTCATAGCGTTTATGGGTTTCGGCAGTAATTGAGAGATCGGTTAATGAATTCATGAGCGCCTGTAGTCTCGGTTTGGACTCCGATTCCGATCCGCACTTCAATAGTAGATATCTTTGCAGTAAATATATATACAGTTGTTGTTCGAGTCTAACAAATAAAGTAACAAATTATNGATCCGCACTTCAATAGTAGATATCTTTGCAGTAAATATATATACAGTTGTTGTTCGAGTCTAACAAATAAAGTAACAAATTATAAGTAAAATTTTAAATATTAATAACTACTTACTTAATACTTGTTCTATGCGATAGATTCGGTCGCTTTGGGTTAAGTAAAACAATTGCAGTTAACTATTAAAATTAATTAAAGTTAATTAGTTATAAACATTTGGTTAAAATAAATAATTTACCAGATCCATTAAAATAGGATCATGGTCCCATTCGGGTAGTAGTTTACTGAGTAATATTAGTAACATTTCATGTGTATTTGGTCGTTGTTCACTAAAGGCACCCAAACTAATTGACAGGGTGCTATTCTCATCCTAGATTAAATATATTAATTAAAACATTTAAAACTACATGTAACTGAAAATAACCATGATAAACTTACTATGTAATAATTAAACTCGCGCGTATCGGGATCATAATAACTTAACCCTCGTAGAAAAATCATATCGTTAAAGCCGTGCTTTACGAGCGCCAACTGGTCGTCGGCGCAAAACTTTTGAAACCCTCGCAAACGTTTAGTATAAGTGATCACATTTTGGATTTGAATTTCAAATAGCCGGTTGGTCACAATCATCATGTCTAGATAACCTTTTGTGGTCACCCTATTGTCACTCAATTGGCAATTGAATACTTGACACGCGTCGGACAACTCGGTTATACGGCTGCTCTCCAACTGATTTATGCCGCAGTAGTCGACAATTGTTTTGACTATCGGTACGATTGCCATCGCAGCCGACTTTTGCCGGATTTGTTTCATCGCTTCCGTCTCTCCCGTTAAACAGCGCTTGATTTGGTTGATCTGTTCGCTCAGCTCTTTATCGTCTATACTGTCAATCCATTCATCGATTTCGTTGCTGTCATTGCTATTATTGCTATCAATTCCTATTGAATCCGGTTTTGATAGGTTTGAGTCCGTGTCCGACAAATCGTTACAAGTATTCAGTTTTTTGTCCAATAATTTTTTCTTCTGTTTGTCTCTATATATTTGTTTTCTGTACTCATTTTGGGTTTCACTTCTAATGAGTTCCTAAAGTGAATAAATATTTATAAATAATTTTGTAAATTAAATGTTTAGTTAAATTTAAAAATACAATTTGCATTCCGATTGTCAAACACTTTTGAAGTCTACATTTTTGACATAGTTTGCGGGTTTGAACATTGATGTTGCACAACCCATTTGAGGCGCAGTGCAATACCTGAATAGACATAACCAACATTTAATTAAATATAAATCATCATCATAATTGTCTAAATTGTTCCCTACGGTTGTCTTGAGGGCTGTTCGTCGAAAGAACGCTTTACATGACTCACATGTGTCGGCACAAAAGTTCCTACCTTAAAATTGTATTAAAATAAAATATAATCATGATTAATTTGGTTCGATATTAATACCTATATGTTTTGAATCGCCGCAAACATCACATATTCTCTGCGGTTTATTACCAGTCATTGTTTGGCCAATTTGTTAAATACTTTCACATAAACCTAGATTGTTGAAAACTTACCTGGATACAATGGAATTTATAAACAAGTAATAATTAATTTCACTTTACATTATAAATTACATTACAATATTATAATTATTAGCATTACATAATTTATTAATAAAAACATTTGATTAAATAAAATAACTTATTTACATGATAAATCATTTTCCAAATCACAATATTTTGTTAATTGAACATCACTTAGTAAATTGAATAATGCTAACAAATAAACACAATATTCTAACACATTTTATTGATTTTCTTATGCAATAATTGCAATATGTTTTAATGTATTGACATTTAAAATTAGTAGAGGTGTGATATTTTTATTAGCAACACTGATTATTCAATTACTGATAACAAAAGTGATAATCATTGTACGGTTTACTACATTAGATATTTTATTTGAGTATACATTTTTCACATAATAAAGGCAATAAATTTATTATGACATTATGAAATAATATTATTAACAAATAGGGTTTTAAAAATGATGGTAAAACATCAATTAGAAATAAAAATAATTAAATTTACAAATCATAAATCTCTCGAAACAATGGGCCGTAATATTGAATGAGTGTATGATTTTCGGCCACTTCTGACAATTCAATGCGTTTATGGGTTTCGCCAGTAATCGTCAGATCAGTCAATGAATACATGAGCGCCTGTAGTCTCGGTTTGGACTCCGATTCCGATCCGCACTTTAATAGTAGATATCTTTGCAGTAAATATATATACAGTTGTTGTTCGAGTCTAACAATCAAACAAATTAATATTATTCAGATAAATTATATAACTAATCACAATAATTATAATTTTATAGTCAAAATTTAACATTAATTACTTACTTAATGCTTTGTCTGTGCAATAGATTTGCTCGATTTGGGTTATATAACAAAATTGCTGTTAACTATACAAACAAAATGTCACACAAATTAATTATAAATATTTGTTAATATTATAAATTTACCAAGTTTAATATAACAGGATCCCGGTTCCATTCTGGTAATAGTTTGCTAATTAATAACAATAACATATCGTATATAGATTTCCGGTATACTTTAAGAGCATCTAAACTGACAGCTAATGTGTGATATTCATCCTAGATGTAAAATACGTCAACATTAATTAAAATTGTTCCTTGGCAAGTTTGTATATAAATAATCAGTTAAATTAAAAAAACAACCATGCTCAACTCACTATGCAATAATTAAACTCTTGCTCCTCGGGGTCATAACAAGTAAAGCCCTGGAGATAAATGATATCAAGAAAGCCGTGCTTTAAGAGCGCCAACTGGTCGTTGGCGCAAAACTTTTGAAACCCTCGCAAACGTTTGGTAAAAGTGATCACGTCTTGTATGATAATCTCTGTCATCTGGTTTGTAATAATCATTAACTCTATTTGATCAGTTGTGGTCACCCTATTTGGGCCCAGAATCGGGTAATTAAATACTAGGCACGCGTCGGACAACTCTGTCATACGGCTGCTCTCCAACTGATTTATGCCGCAGTAGTCGACAATTGGTTTGACTATCGGTACGATTGCCATCGCAGCCGACTTTTGCCGGATTTGTTTCGTCGCTTCCGTCTCTCCCGTTAAACAGCGCTTAATTTCATCGATCTGTTCGCTCAGCTCTTTATCGTCTATACTGTCAATCCATTTATCAATTTTTTTGCTTTCATTGCTGTAATTGCTATCAATTCCTATTGAATCCGGTTTTGATAGGTTTGAGTCCGTGTCCGACAAATTGCCACAACTTTTCAGCCTTTTCTCTAACAATTTTTTCTGTCGTTTCTCTCTATAAATATGTTTTCGGACTTCGTTTTCGGTTTCGCTTCTTATGAATTCCTTCAGTGAATAAATCATTGAAAAATCAATTTATAACTCATTTACTAAATGTTTAGTTAGATTTTAAATACACTTCTCATTCCAATGGCTAAACACTTTTCAAGTCTGCATTTTTGACATAGTTTGCGGGTTTGGGCAGTGATTTCGCACAACCCATTGGAGGCGCAATGCAATACCTGTTCAAATATAACCAACATTAATTAAATAATTATGGTTGTAATTATTTGGTAACAACAAAGTATTACGGTAATTTTGAGGGCAGTTCTCCGGAAAAACGCTTTACAACTCTCACAAGTGGTGGCGCAAAAATTTCGGCCTAAAATTACATAAAAATTTAATTTAAATTATATAAAAATTATTATTTTTGTTTATTAATACCAATATGTTTTGTATCGCCGCAAACACCGCATATTCTCTCCGCTTGTTTTCCAGCCATTTGTTATGGGAAACTGTTAATAAAATAGTTACATAGATTATTGTCAACTTACCATAATACAAACAGTTAACTTTAGTTAAGTAGTTAATTTATAAATATCACAGTTTATATAAAATTTATAAATAGATATTCAATCAAAATGTATAATAATTGCTATTATGGCAACATTTATGTAAACATGATTGAACAAAAAGAACATAATTACGTGAAAACTCAATTCCCAAATGACAGTACAGTATAATTAACGGTGATTGAAAAACTAAATGGCAATGGTAAATAAACACAATACGTTTAGCACATTGTATTGATTTAGTTATGCAATTACTTTATGTCGTTTCTTATGCAATGTATTGAAATACAGTACACACTGTGATAGACTATCAATGATACTACTGTAAATAAATGTACATTAATAGTTAAATGTAATAAGACATTCATCAAACGTTAACTTACAACTTGTAGGCAACAAATATCATTACAGATAAGTTGTTTATATGTAATAAAACTTGTTTCGTATGTGTTAAGTAAATTATGCCTAGCTATAACTATTAATAGTTTAAACTTTATTCTTAAGAATTTTTTTTATTAATGAATAAATCAATTAATTTTTTAATTATCTTTAAAATTGTAATTATTTTTAATAATTAATTATTATCTTAAAAATGCCATTATTATTTTTAATTTGCTGGTTGTTTATTAATATGTATCAAACGAAAAGGTAATGCAAAATGTACTGTACATGTACTGTATGTTAAAATAGTGAAATATTAACACATTAAATAATGAAAAAATTAAATATTCTCACAAAGAATAATCATATTTGAATGATAAATATAAATTAATTTACAAAAATGATTATGTTGAGATAACTTTATAGTCCATAGAGCTCTTTAAGTAGTGGTCCGTAATATGGCTTATAATTGTGGTATTCATTAATCTCGTCCTCTCTGTGCAAATCTCCGGCAATCTTCAGATCAGTCATTGAATTCATTAACGTTTGTAATCTCAGCTCCGATTCAAATTGTGACCGACATTTCAATTGTAAGTATTTGCGCAATAAATATATGTATATTTGTTGTTCGAGTCTATGAATTATATGTAAATTGAACATGATCATTCTTGTTAACATAATTTGGCACTTGAATACTTACTTAATACTAGCTCTATGACTGAGATCGGGGTGCTTTGGGTTGAATATTATAATCGCAGTTAACTATAAATAAATTATATAAAGTTAATGCAAACTAGTAAAATTTAATTACGGTAATTAATTGTAAATATTTATTATAAAATTCAGTACCAGCTCCAAAATGATTGGGTCCCTTTCCCACTCCGGGTACACTTTATTTACATAATCAAGAAATATGGTAAATTTAAAATCTTCTAAACCAAGCCACAGCGATGTATTTTGATCCTAAAACAGCATGATTATTTACAGCTTGACAGCATTTAACAGCTTTTATTTATTTATTGGGTAAGCATTTTATTTAAAAACACTTACCATATCCACTATAAAATATTGTTTTTCTTTATTGTAATAGGTGAGAAATCTCAATAAATACACCTCCATAAAACTATATTTGATCAGGGCCAACTGATCATCGGGGCAGACATTGACAAATGCTTTAAGGCCCTTGGTAAAATTTATTACATCTCTGATGTGGGCCTCAGTTCGGGGCATAAATAATTTGGTCACCACATCCTTGTCTTTGCTTTTCACTATATTTTTGCCCAATTCGTAGCGTTTGAATACATCGGATGCTGTCATCAATTCCCGCATCCGATTGCACTCTAATTGATTCAAACCCTTATAGTCGATGAGTTCCCGGAATACGGGAATGACTGGCATTTGTGGCAACTGTTTATCGCTGGCGACGAATATATTGTTTGTCACATAGTTTTCAATATCCCTGATCTGATCCATCAGCTCTTCAGCACTCGTATTGATGGTGTTTTCCAGCAATATATCAATTTCATGGCAGTTATTATCATCTGATTGTGCGGATTGTGGTGAGCTTTCATTAGTACTGGTATTGTACTCTCGGTCAACATCTACTAACCCATAGCTTTTCAACAATTCCTATAAGAGATTATAACAATGTTTATAAGTGTATCAAAAATAATATACAAAAACAATATAAAACAATACTTTTCGCATTCCGACGGCACAACACTTTTCAATCCGACATTTGGTGCATAACTTTCTAGTGATTGCATTTATTTTGCATTTTCCACCCGACGGACAGTCAAACGTCTATTACAATTAGTAAACTAACAAAAATTAAAAATTTTATTTTTAGTAACAATGTATAGTTGACCTGATTTTTGAGTGCCGTTCGCTTGAAAAACATTTTACACGACTCGCAGGTAATCGCGCAGTAATTTCGGCCTAAATATACATTTAGTTTAACATTAAATTAAATAATTATTTGCTAATACCAAAATTGTGAATTTGTATAAACATAGGTATAATATATAACTTACCAACTCCTTTATTATGGCCACAAACGCTACACATTTTATTTACATTCATTATTATTCTTAAACAATAGATTATTCATACATTTATTAAACAACTTAAAATATA